AACACCAAAGTACTCTGCTTTCCGAAGGATACGGTGTCTGACTTGGCAGAAAGAATCCTGCATATCGTGGCTGAACATCCTGTTGTGAAAAACATCATACTGCACATCGGGACCAATGATGTTGTGAAACAGTCTGAAGTGTTGAAAGAGGATTTTAATAATCTGTTGAACACAGTCAGCTCTCTGAATGCTGAGGTGTTTATCAGTGGCCCTATACCGCCAATCCGAAGAGGAGCTGAGAGATTCAGCAGATTGATGGCTTTGAACACGTGGCTCTCAACAACATGTACTGTCCATTCAGTGCATTTCATCGAAAACTTTCACTTTCTGTGGGACCGCAGGCATCTTTTAAGGCAGATGGACTTGCCTTAACAAGTCAGGAGTAAAATTGTTCAGCTCCAAACTGTTTTACTTTCTGCATCACTCATCTGTTCCCTCTGCCAAGGACAAGAGACAAGAGGAATCTAAACAAGAAGAAGACACAACACAACACGCCAGAAACCTTGAAGGAGAGCCACCCAGCCCCGCCGGAAGAGAGCTCTGATCACTGGAGACATCTGAGCCAAGAGGAAGAGTCTCCACCTCCCTCACTGAAAACCGACAGTGAGGATTCAACATCTCTACCCCCCAATCCCCACCTTCAGACACACTTTCTCCTCTCTCCCCCTGTTGGACTTCACTGATCACATGGAAGATCTGGTTAGAGCTGGGACCAAATTTACTCCCCGCACCTTCCCTCGCTCCACTCCATTTTCTCTACCCTAAACCCCCCTCACCGTCCACCTCCACCTCTGGTTCTAAGTCCTCCAGGTTTGACACATCTGTCAAAAGTACAGCGCCCAACCCGTCCTCCGCTCCACAATGGCGAAAAAGCCCAGTAAGCTCTGTCTGATATGTGCTGGGTCCAGGCTACAAGGAAAATAGCACTCATGACTCTTCCCAGGACAAGCCGGGGCCCAGTGTGCAGGTAGTCTCTCCATCCCTGTCTTGACAGGTAACAGAAAAAGCACGGTGAATGTGTTAAGAAACAGGAAGCACTCAACATATCCTGCACATTTAGTATTAATTCCTGTCAGCCGCAGCCTGTCAAAAAGTGGGCCAGATAACGTTTTTAACACACTAAATTAGCTTTGTTAAACGTTAGGTCTTTGGCAGGAAAAACATTTTAAATCAATGATTTTATAATAACTCACATCTTAATTTCATGTTTTTAACTAAACTTGGTTGGACCAAGATAACAGTGCAGCTGTCCTTATCGAGTCTACCCCTCCCAACTTCAGTTTATAGTGAAGCTAGAGTCCATAAGAGGGGAGGTGGAGTTGCCATTTAGTTTAATGACTCCCTCCAATGCAAAAAGATGTCTTATGGGAATTTTGATTCTTTTGAATATGTGGCTCTAAAGCTGAATTCCTCTTCTCGAGCTATTTTTCTAAATATCTACAGGCCCCCTAAATACTGTGCAAACTTTTTGATGAATTTGGTGAACTGCTGTCTATAATCTGTATTGACTTTGACTGTGTGGTTATTGTTGGGGATTTTAACATCCATGTTGACAACCCCCAGGACAGAGGGACTAAAGAACTACATGTGACGAGGCACACACACAATAAGGGGCACACTTGGACTTGGTCATCTCCAAGGGTCTGGACATTTCCAAGGTTGTGGTGACTGATGTTGCTCTCTCTGATCATTCCTGTGTTTCTTTGAGAGTGCTGTCTGCGTGCACACAAATGTACAAACAGAGGTGATCACAAAACGGCATATCACTGAAAACACTTGTAGATGATTTCAATTCTAAAATTACAAATGTTATTGATGCCATTGCACCAGCCAAGGTGAAGGTGGTCTCTGGTAAGAGAAGATCTCCATGGAGAAATGCCACGCTGGTTAGAAACTCAAAAAAGAGAGCGTCGAAAAGCTGAACGCAGGTGGCGGAAAACAAATCTCCAGGTTCATTATGACATCTATAAAGAGAGACTTCACATTTATAATTTAGAGCTGAGAAATGCAAGGCGGTCCTTCTTCTCTGACATCATCACCAAAAACATTAATAATGCACGTGCCCTGTTTGCTGCTGTGGACAGGCTAACCAACCCTCCTGTGTCTGTAGCCTCTGACCTTCTATCCACCAGGGCCTGCAATGAATTTGCTTCCTTCTTCACAGACAAAATTCAAAACAATGAGACAAGCAATCAGTGCCTCCATGTCAGTAACAGGATATGTCTTGTCCCTGTGTCCACTGAAAACAACAATATAGCATGAGACAATTTGATTCTATTAACCATAAAAACCTGGAGGACATAATACAACATCTGAAATCCTCCTCACGCTGCCTTGACATTCTGCCAACAGGTTTTTTCTAAAATGTTTCTAAATGCATGGTCTCAGATTTACTACAAATTGTCAACATGTCTCTCCTCTCAGGTTTTTTCCCACAGGCCCTGAAAACGGCAGTCATTACGCCACTCTTAAAAAAAGAGCAATCTAGACAGGTCACTAATGAGCAATTATAGGCCCATATCAAACTCCCCTGTTTTTCAACAGCTTAGTGCTTTCTTGGCACTAAATAACTGTTTTGATGTCTTCCAGTCAGGTTTTCGACCACACCACAGCACTGAGACGGCTTTTGTTAGGGTCTTCAATGACATCCATTTAAACACTGACAGTGGCAGAATTTCAGTCTTAGTATTATTGGATCTCAGTGCTGCATTCAACACGGTCGACCACAACATATTACTAGACAGACTTGAAAACTGTGTTGGACTTTCTGGCACAGTACTAAACTGGTTTGAATCCTATTTAAAGGACAGGGACTACTTTGTGTCTATAGGTAATCACACATCTGAGCTGACAAAAATGACATGTGGAGTTCCCCAAGGCTCCATTTTGGGACCTCTTGTGTTTAACATTTACATGCTTCCACTGGCTCAGATTATGAAAAACAACAAAATATGTTACCATAATTATGCAGATGACACACAGATTTACATTTACCATTTCACCAGGGGACTATGATCCCATACAGGCGCTGATTAACTGTATTGAGCAGGTCAATGATTAGATGTGCCAGAATTTGCTTCAGTTAAACAAGGATAAAACTGAAGTTATTGTTTTTGGAGCCAGGGAGAAACGATTGAAAGTCAGTGCTCGACTTCAATCTGTAATGTTAAGAACCACAAATCAAGCCAGAAATCTTGGTGTGGTTATGGACTCAGACCTGAATTTGAGGAGCCACATTAAGACAATTACAAAGTCAGCCTACTATCACCTGAAGAATATATCAAGGATTAAAGGACTTATGTCTCAGCAGGACCTGGAAAAGCTTATCCATGCATTTATCTTCAGTCGACTCGACTACTGTAACAGTGTCCTTACAGGGCTCCCTAAGAAATCCATTAGACAGCTGCAGCTGATACAGAAGGATGCTGCTTGAGTCCTCACTAAGACCAAAAAGGTGGATCACATCACTCCAGTTCTGATGTCTTTACATTGGCTTCCTGTATGTCAAAGAATTTATTTCAAAATCCTGCTGTTAGTTTATAAAGCACTAAATGGTTTAGGGCCAAAATACATTTCCGATCTTCTGCTTCGTTATGAACCATCCAGACCTCTCAGGTCGTCTGGGACCAGGTCTGCTTTCTGTCCCCAGAATCAAATCTAAACAAGGAGAAGCAGCGTTCAGTTATTATGCTCCGTATATCTGGAACAAACTCCCAGATAACTGCAGGTCTGCTGAAACAGTCAGTTCTTTTAAATTAAGGCTGAAGACTTTTCTTTTACACTGCACTGTAACTTTTACTGTCCTGTTTTCTATTTCTTTGTTTTTAGCTTTTAATCATTGCTTTTTTCCATTTAACTCTTTTAACCCTGATTGTAACACTGTAACTTTTATTATATTTTATGTTGCTTTTAAACTTTTTTATATTTCCCTGTTGCTTCTATGTTTTATTTATAGCACTTTGAATGACCTTGTTGTTAAAATGTGTTATACAAATAAACTTGCCTTGCCTTGCCTTGCCTTACACTCCAGCATCCATAGCAATCATTATCTGCACAAACAGTGAAACACGTCAGTTACCTCTAAAAGCCTTTTCTCTTTGTCTCTTTGGCGATCAGTAGAATCCCTTCCGTGCTGCTGTTAGAACTCAACTGATGATGTGAATCAGCCTTCAGGCTCCATTGTTGGGACTTCAGTCTGCAGCTGCAGAAACAACTTCCAACTGCCTGAAATGTACTGAAACCAAACAGGTAGGTGTTCTGATTTAAAGCAGCAGTCGATAACAATTGAACATACAACGCAAAACGTTCCTCGCATCAGTCTGCTAAGCCCCGCCCACCAAACTCACAAAACTAACTGGGGGCCCACGGTCTTCATCGCCAAGACCATGTTCCATTTTGCTTTGATTCTCCTCAAAGACGCCCCCTCCGGCCTAGGGCTGAGTGTCGCAGGCTACAAGAGGCAGCTATCCAATGTCTAACGGGGTAAGAGCTAGTTTACCACTGCCTCCCCTCCCCCCTCAAAAGTTATTCCCCAAGCTATTATTACCAGCGCCATGGCATCGGACATTGTGAGCCAAAGTGTGAACTCATCTGTCTTTGTGAGACTGGAAAAATAGAGTTAACCGAGTTACCCAAAAGTTAGCTGGCTAACCCACTGATCCTGTGAGAGGACAATTATATTTAACCACATGGTACCTGCCACCTATTTCCACAAAAAACGCAAATAACATACCCAAAGTAAATCAGTAATAACTCCTCAACCATTAGGTATGGTGCATAATTCTGGTCTCCTTTGAAAGGTCAGAGGAATATGAATCAACTGAACCTATTTATTTTTCTATTAAAGAGTAAATGGAGATGCAATATAGGAAAATCTATTTTCATCCCCGCCTGGTAAAAAAGCTATATTTTTTATGCAATAAACCATCAAAATCATCATCCAACTCATTATAATGCAACTGAATATCTTCTAATATTTGATGAAAAGAAACTAATATGCAACAGTAATTACACAGTATTTTAAAAATATACCAGGCGAATGTTCATGTTTTGTCCATATTACTGTTTTATGTTCACTTTTATTGGGAGTTTTCTTCAAAACACTATTTCTCTCCATACAACCACGTTCCAAATAACATAAAGCTTCTAAAACACTGCAATACTGATAAAAACAGTGAATATTGATCAACATTCCTATGACCGAAAGAACTCCCATGCTTTACAGGTGCACAAGTTGAAAACAGAACAGGGCAAGTAAATGGGCTCTTTCTCTTTGTATTGAAGAGACAAGTGGATTGGTATACTGCATGTCTGTGTAGCTCCTACGGGTCGGCCAGTAGAGGCCAATAAAGACCGCCTCCCCCAAAGTAACTCTTCTGCTCTCCTTCAATTTGATGACAGAAACGAAATTTAGCAGCTCACGGACCTCACCAAGATGGCGGCACGCGGCGTAGGGCTCTATTGACACAGAATAACAGCGGTTGTTGTTATTAGTTGGCTAATTACTTGAGTAATTTGAGCAGAACAGAGCAGAAGCTGAGCTTTCTTTAGAGTGGTCGGACTGCGGTGTGGGATGAGAGGAGAGGCACATGGAAAGCAACTTGAACATGAAATAAGTTTCATCCTTAAGTTGATATATAGAACTTGTGATCAAACAGCAGCTTATTTCCACCTCCAGCAGCTACAGAGTAACATGATGCTTCATGTGGAGTCATGTTTGTCTCTGATAGCTCTGTGTTCGGTCTCCAGCAGCTCCTGAGGGAAATATCTGGCTCTATCGCTGCTAAATGCTGCACTGTGTTCACCAGATGCTCTCTAACTGTGTCTATCTGCTGTTTGTTTCTATCTGCTGAAAGTCCCGATAAAGTTCCATAAAGCAGAGAAGTTGCAGATTCAGCTGATAATTCAGAGACACCGACACATTATTCCATTGTTTTCACATTATTATAAAAAATGCATTATAGTTGCTTTAAATGCAAAAACAATGTTTGTTGTTTTATATGAAAGTTTCCTTTAACTTAAAATTAAATGAGAGAAAAGGTCAAAATTAAAGTGAAAATGTGAGGGTGTCTGGACGTGATATTACCAAATATTTTAAATTCCTGCTGTGGCCATCACACAGAGAAGTGTCAGAGAAATGAACTAACAAGCTGTTGTCCATTTTGTCCAGTTCAGACTGAGCGATGGACTCTGAAGCCGGCGGGACGATGGAGGTGGCGGCGCTCGGCCGGCCTTTCAGCCTCGGGATGTTGTACGACTGCCGCAAAGACTCACTTGTCCCTGGTAAGGATTCACATGTGAAGATACTTAAAACTTTCAGGATTTAAAGCCACATTCAACAACATTTTCATCTCAGATCGTTTGATCACTTTTGCTTCATTTTAATTATCTGAGAATCATGTGTCTCTTGTTCTGATAGAGATTACCAACATGTTTTGTTTTAAAGCATGTCAGGAAGAAGCTATTTTAATTTGTGAATTGATCCTCTTTATAACACAGAAGAAGTTCTTATAGAAAAGCCAAAGTAGTGTTTCTCTGATTTTGTGTCTAAAAGCTATGCTTTACTATCATGCAATAAAAGGCAGTTTGACTTCTCCTCTTCTTTTTGGCAGGCATTACGCTGTGGGACCGCAATGACCTGGAAAAAGATAAAGGAAAGACCCCAAAAGACCAAAACCGAACACTGACTTTGAGATCGTTGCATCTGAATCAATTGAGGACAAATCTTCAGCTCTAAATGTTGAAGCTTCCCTGAAGGCAAGTTTCTTGAGTGGACTGGTTGAGGTTGATGGATCGGCTAAATACCTGAATGACAGTAAGATTTCCAAAAATCAGGCCAGAGTAACTCTGAAGTACAAGGCTACCACAAAGTTCCAGGAACTGTCAATGGATCACCTTGGAAGAGACAATATGAAGCATTCATATGTCTTTGATAAAGGATTAGCAACACATGTAGTCACAGCCATTCTTTATGGGGCACAAGCCTTCTTTGTCTTTGACCGTGAGGTGTCTAAAAAAGAAGATCATCAAGACATTGAGGGGAACTTGAAGGTGATGATCAAGAAGTTTCCCAGTGTCGCTATAGATGGTGAAGGTTCCCTGAAACTGGAAGACAAGGACAGAGCAAATGTTGAGAAATTCTCCTGCAGATTCTTTGGAGACTTTGCTCTTGAAAAAAGTCCTGTGTCCTTTCAGGATGCAGTAGAAGTCTACCAAAGCCTGCCAAGATTACTGGGAGCCAACGGAGAAAAGGCTGTACCAATGAAAGTCTGGCTGTTGCCACTGACAAGTTTAGATTCTTCTGCTGCAAAACTGGTCCGTCAGATAAGTATAGGATTAGTTCAGGAATCACAGAGAGTCCTGGAGGACTTCAGTGAGCTGGAAATGAGGTGCAATGACACAATGAGAACCACCACCGCACAGCAGTTCCCACAGATTGGCAAAAAGATTAAAAGCTTTAAAGAGATGTGCTCTGAGTTCAAGCTGGGATTCCAACAAAATCTGGCAAAGAAACTTCCATCAATCCGAGGAGGAGGAGAAGAGGAGGCTGTGCTCGCAGAGATCCTGAAGAAGAGACATTCTTCTCCTTTCAACAGCAAAGACCTGAACGAGTGGTTGGACTGTAAAGAGAGAGAAGTCTACACCTTAATGTCTTTAACCAACATGATGAAAAACACCAAGATCGTCCCCTCTCAGAATGTTCTTAGTGAAGAAACCCTCAGTGCAGACCATGCTGTGTGTTTTGTTTTCACCTCCCTGGGAAGTGCTGAACCGTACCTCTCAGTTTTATCTAACTACTTAAAACAAACACCCGAAGCAGACGACCCTCAAGATGTAGAGAAGGAACAATGGTTCACCTCAAAAGAAATAACAGATGCAATGAGGAATAAAGCAAAGCTCTTCAGTGACTTTGCAGAGGCCAACAAGGAGAACAAGAACATAAAGTTCCTGACAGTGGGATTAACAAATGAGACACAGAAAGGTTCAAGCATCTACCTTCATGAAGGCGGCTTTTCTGTCAATGAGAACTTTGAGCCGCCTTCAAAGCCTGAAACAGTAACAGCAAGTGACATAAAGCACAACAGTGTGACACTGAAGATTTCTGCGCCCAGATTTGGAGCAGAGAACATCACCTCCTACTCTGTAGAGTACTGTGTCAGAGGAGAGGATGGATGGCAACAAGAGACAGCATCAAAAGCTGGAGAAGTCACAGTGAGCCATCTGAGTCCTAACACAGAGTATATGTTCAGATGCAGAGCAGTGACCTCAGCAGGTGTTGGGCCGGCCAATGAAGTCAGTGGTTCCATTAAAACCTTACCTTGCAGCCCTCCTGGAAAACCTCAAGTTGAACCAGACTCAAAAGCGACTGAGATCTCGGTCAGCTGGGAGAAACCTGCTGAGCTTGGACAAGATGTCCAGATTTTGAGCTACATCGTGGAGTACGCCAAAACAGACAACGGGGTGAAAGAGGAAGATCTCCAATGGAAGCAAATGATGTCGAGAGCTGAAAAGGCGATCATTTCAGGGCTTCAGCCAGAGACAGAATATGTTGTCAGGGTCAGATGTGACTGTGGTGAAGCTGGAAGAAGCAAGGAGAGCATCTCTGTTAATGTCTGCACAATGAAATTTAAACGTCTCACAGAACTCCTCAAAAGTAGAAGTGAAAGGATAAATTCTGAATCACCTTCAGTTTACAAACTGCCTCTGAAAGAAGAAGATACGGACATTGATGGATGTAGAAGATACAGTTTTGGCAAAGAAAGCACAAGGAAAAATCGCACAATAATGTTTTTTGGAGTGTCCGGATCTGGAAAGGCGACTCTGATCAATGGACTGATCAACTACATTGTTGGTGTAGAGTGGAAGGACAATTACAGATTCAAACTAATTGATGAGGGTCAGTCGACGTCACAGGCTGAAAGCCAGACCTCTGAAGTCACTGTGTACAAAATCAACCACCAGGAGGGTTTTAAAACAGAATACTCTCTGACCATTGTTGACACTCCAGAGTTTGGAGATACAAGAGGCATAATAAGAGATGAGAGCATCACAGAACAGCTGTGTAATTTCTTCTCTGCTGAGCTTGGTGTCAGTGAAATTGACGCTGTGTGTTTTGTAGCTCAGGCTTCTTTAGCTCAACTCACGCCAACACAGAAATATGTGTTTGACTCTGTGCTCTCAATCTTTGGCAAAGATGTGGCAGAAAACATCAGGGTTCTGGTGACATTCGCAGACAGCCAGCGTCCACCAGTTCTAGAGGCAATCAATGCTTCAGGTGTCCCATGTCCTAAAACAAGAGACGGGCTGCCAGTTCACTTCAAATTCAATAACTCAGCTTTGTTTGCAGACAACAAATCATCTGCAGCAGGCAGCATGAGTGGGGATGATGAGGATGAAGAGGGAGGCTTTGATCAGATGTGTTGGAACATGGGGACAAAAAGCATGAAGAGGTTCTTTGCTGCTTTGAATACCATAGAAACCAAAAGCTTGACGATGACGAAGCAGGTCCTCAGAGAAAGAGAGCAGCTCAAGAATTCAGTTGAAAACTTGCAGGAGCAGGTTAAAGTTCAGTTAGCCAAGCTGGAGGAGATAAAAGAGACAAGTGAAAAACTGAAAGAGCACGAGGCAGAGATCAGCGGAAATGAGAACTTTGAGTTTGAAATCATCTTCACTAAGCCCGTTCAATTAGATATTTTTGGTACTGGAGATTACCTTAGGAACTGTCAGCAGTGTCATGTCACCTGTCACTATCCCTGTGCAACTGATGCAGATACAATATGCTGCTCGGAAATGGAATCAGATGGATACTGTACTCAGTGTCCAGGCAAATGTTCCTGGAGTGTACATTTTAATCAGAAGTACAGATGGGAGTATCAGGAAGTACAAGAAAAACGAACAGTAAAAGAGCTGAAAGAAAAGTACCTAAAAGCCTCAGATGCTGAGAAACGTGTTCAGGTATTGATTGAACAACTGCATGCTGAATATGATGATGTGCAGACTAACGTGGTGAACCTGATGAAGTGGTCATCTGAGTGTTTAAACAGACTTAAAGAGATAGAACTGAAGCCAAATCCTCTCTCCACTCCAGAGTACATTGACATGCTGATTGAGGGAGAGATATCTGAGGCCAAGCCAGGCTGGAAGCAACGAGTTCAGATCCTTAACACCATGAGAGAAAAAGCAGATCTCATAGCTATTGTAAGAGGGCAACTCCTCCTGGAACTACTCATCGGGAATTTCAACAATCCTGAACAGTGAAAACGTGAATTTTTTTCAGTTGTGAGAATCTAAATATATTTCTTCATAAAAATGTTAAGACATATAGATTTACATTGTTCAGTTTGCAGGATTATCAGCTTCTTGCTTCTTTTCACGCTGTTACACTGCTGACCCCAATAATATTCAGTATTTAGAAGACAGCTGTCTTCAATCCCAGAGCATTACTGTCCGTTACTTGTCCTCGGTGACATGAACATTCACTTAGACAAATCAAACTTAGCAGACTTCTTGTCTCTGATTTAGTCCTTTGATCTAACACAGGTTCTCAGCCCCCCGACCCACAAAGCTGGCAAGGAGCTTGACTCATTCTTGTCCGAAACTGTGCCACCAAGTGCCTAACAGTCACACCTCTACACATGTCTGACCTCTATTTCATTCAGTTCATGAACAGCCCATATGTCTGACACCGCTGCTACCTCTGCAACCTGTCTCCCACTCACTTTGCCTCAGTGGTAGCTTCCGGTCTACCTTCCCTCAACATACTTTCCTCACTTGAGGTCAGTGATGCCACACAATCTCTGTGCTCTACACTGAGCTCATGCCTGGATAGCCTGTGTCCTCTATCCACCAAACCTTATAGCCAGAACCAGTCCCACCCGTGGCTAACTGATACCATCTGTGGGCTCCGTACTGATCTCAGACCTGCTGAAAGAAAAGACCCTGCCAACCTTAAGGGCTACTAAATGCTCCTATCCTCCTTCTCAACAAGCATCAATGCCGCCAAAACTGCATTCTATAATGACAGAATAAGCAGTGCCGCTGACTCAAGGACATTATTTTCCACTTTTAAATCACTGCTAAATCCTCCTCCACCTCCACCACTCACAAACTTGTCTGCTGATATCTTTGCTGCCTCATTCACAGGCAGTGGCGGCTATAACTAGCCATTTCTCTAAATCACTCAAAATCAACCGGTCTATTCCCGCCCTGGTCAGCTCCCACTGTGTGAGCATGGCACAAGAAAACCTACCATGTAGCAGTCCAACTACATGTCTCCCTCCATCCCCCTCGGGAAATAGAGAAAAAGGCTGTAATGGGAATTCCATGAGAATCCTCTCCAAACATTGTCATGTACCAAGTCAACACCAAGGCTAACATGCAGCAGTCCTACTACATCTGTTCCTATGTCCTCCCAGGTCAATGGCACTTCACTCTCCTCCTTCACTCCTCTCACGGAGAACGAAGTATCAGAACTCCTGACCCATAGCCGTCCCACTACATGCCCACTGGACCCGATTCCTACGAATCTCCTCCAAACCATATCTCCTACCAAGTTTCCACTCATGTGATAAATACTTCTCTGGCTTTGGGAACATTCCCGACCATTTTCAAAAGGGCTCGGCATACAACCTTGCTCAAAAAGCCCTCACTCGACCCAACTCAAGTTGAGAACTATCGACCAGTTTCACTTTCACTATGGAACGGGTAGTCTTCAAACAGGTCTCAGAATTCCTCTCACGGAATGACCTCCTAGATCCGTGGCCACTCTACTGAAACGGCTCTTCTGTCTGTAACAGAAGCCCTAAGGTCAGCTAAAGCGGCAACCCAATCCTCGTTTCTCATCCTGCTTGACCTATCAGTTGCCTTTGACACAATCAATCACATAATTCTGTTATCCGCACTCTCAGCAATGGGCATCTCGGGCAAGGCACTCCTATTGTTTGAATCTTACCTCTTGGGGCGTTCCTACAATGTTTTGTGGCAAGGACAATTATCCTCCTCCCACTGCCTCTCCACAGGGGTACCCCAAGGCTCAGTGCTAGGACCCCTTCTCTTCTCAGTTAACACCATCTCACTGGGGCCAATCATTCGCTCACACGGCTTTTCTTACCACTGCTACGCAGACGATATGCAACTCTACCTATCCTTCCCACCAGACGACCCCAGCATCTCGGCGCGGATCACGGACTGTCTCTTGGACATATCTGCATGGATGAAGGCCGCCATCTTCAGCTAAACCTCTCTAAGACTGAACTCTTGATCATTCCAGCCAAGCAATCTATCCACCATAACATCAAACTACAAACTGATTTCTCAACCATCACTCCAACCGGGGTGGTGAGAAGCTTGGGTGTCATGATTGATGACCAGCTGTCCTTTTCAGACCATGTTGCTGCTGTTTCTAGGTTGCTCTATACAACATAAGAAAAATCAGGCTCTACCTCACTCAGTACGCTATCTCTCGCCTCGACTATTGAGGTAGGTATTGAGTAGGTCTTCCAGCTTGTGTGGTGAAACCCTTACAAATGGTTCAGAACACAGCAGCACGTCTGGTTTTTGATCAGCCCAAAAGGACTCATGTCACTCCGTTACTCAGTGACCTCCACTGGCTCCCCGTGGCCTCCAGAATCAAATTCAAGTCACTAATGCTTGCATACAGAGCTACTACTGTGTCTGCACCATCTACCTAAACTCCATAATGCAAGTTTACGCTCCTCCAAAGAACGCCGCCTGGCTTTGCCATCCTTTCACAAAGCATTCTCAGTCCCTGTTCTCATCTGTGACACCACGATGGTGGAACGAGCTACCACACGCCATCAGAGCAGGGGCGTCCCTCTCTGACTTCAAGAAACTCTTGAAAACTCATCTCTTCCGAGGACACTTTCTCCTAACCTCCAACATGCACTTCCTCTGCTCTTCTTCTTCTATCCCCTTACAATTATCCTGTTTTGATTGCACTTTTAGTTAACTCTTACTTCTTTGACTAGGTATTTACCCCATTGATGCGATATGTGCTATTAGCTCTTTCTAGTATTTATTAGTGCTCTTACTAGCATGTATTGTCAGTTGTAGATCTTGTGCTGTATCTGATGCTTTGTTGATGTTTGTATGTTGTTCCTCAAATGTAAGTCGCTTTGGGTAAAAGCATCTGCCAAATGAGTAAATGTAATTTAATAGTTATGTATATTTTGCGTTTTATGATGCTATGTGGACTATAATAGAGTATTCCCTTTAGTAAATAAATCCATACTAAATTAAGTGGAAGAAGTTTTCATTTCTTTTCCTTTAGTAAAAGCAGCATTACCATAATGCGAGAGTTCTTTACCTGGTCTCATGGGGGTCATCAGAGTGCCACACTAAAGACTCAAAATTAGAAGACAAAAATCCTCTAAAATAACTTTTGGACTGTGTTGTCAATCAAATCACTTTGGGTGGACACTGTAAATATTTTGCACTGTGTAATCCAGTAGGTTGCGGTTATGCAACACTAAAAACTCACATCTCTATATGAAACTACCTAACTGTGTAAAAAAGTTGTTAAAGGTAGTTCCATTATTGACACCCTAATCATAATAAGCTATATTTATATAGCACCTTTCATAACATAAAACGCATCTCAAAGCGCTTTCCAAGATAAACAAATCAATTCAATAACACAAGTACAAATTCCAAAAACACTGAAATAAACAAATTCAAATGTAAAACAATACAATAACAATGGTGTTAAAATAAAAAATGGAATTTATTGTAAGCAAGATCATATAAATGGATTTTGAGTCGTTTCTTAAAACTGTAAACCAAGAGAGCACGCTTTACCTCTTTGTAGAAAATGTACGAAGAAGAAGGAAGAAGAAGTAGTTGTAGTAGTAGTAGTAGTATTTGGACAAATGGAGGACCACACGTATTATTTAGCACACGAGCCGACAAAGCATGTCGGCCACCGTAGCTTCTCCTCTGAGCTTACAAAGGGAGGGGTGAGCGGTGACTGAGCCGTTGGTTGCAATTCACAAACCTCACCTCTAGATGCCACTAAAACTTACACAGTGAACCTTTCAGCCCTGCTGGGGAAATGTTTCACTCCTTTCCAGCTACCAGTCCACACTCTGTACTGACTTCATTCTGGACTTGATACAGCAACCCTCCAGTTCCCAAGCTAAGGGACCCTACGGACCCCAAAAGCTGAGTACATGGCTAACACAGGAGTGGAACTTCTCCAGCTTCCATAGTGATCAGGAAGATTTTTGTGACACAGATAAAAAAGAACCAAACAGGACAGAGAGTGATGTACTGAGACAGAGTCTCCATACTGAGACACCGACACTTCAGTTATTCTGACCAACAAAAGTAGAAATGTGTTCGACATAAAGAGAGAAGCTGCTAACTCGTTTGTACAAACGTATTCCAGCAGGAGCGACCCAGCCCAAAAGCTGAGTACATGGCTAAAGCAGACACAGGAGAGGAACTTCTCCAGCTTCCATAGTGATCAGGAAGACTTTTTTCAAACTGATATCATAACCAAGACCATAACAAGACCTGATCAAATACTGAAACAAAGAGGAGATCTATTCTGACACAGATAACAAAGAACAAAACAGGACAAGAGTGTCCATACTGAGACACCGAAACTTCAGGACAACTTCCTGACACCATCAACACCAGTGTCACAGTTTAAATCTGCAGCTTTATTAACTCAGCAAACCTGAACACTGAGAATTAAATAGTTTATTTTATCTATTTTTATCTAAATATAACTGTTCATAGAAAACATTTAGACATATAGATTTACATTGTTCAGTACAGCTTTGTAAACAGGAATATCAGCTTCTTGCTGAGATTTAAAGTTTTACTGGGATGGTTGATTTGACCTTTCTGCATTCTGATATGTATCATTTACTTTGTGTACTTATATTCATCTTACTGTCCACTATGTGTACCAGTGTTTCAGCTATAATGAACATCTGTGAGATAGTTTTATCTTATGTCTACTGTTCCTGGCTGAGAACAGCTTTTTCGTAGACTCCACAGTTATCAGTTATGCATTGAATCCCTTAGTACCATGCTACCCCTTTCCCCTGGACCAGAGTATGTGCATGTATGTAGGGTCATTTTTTGCATGAAAGGTCTCCGATGTCATGTTACCAAGAATAAATATAGAGGGTTGGGTTAGACTTTGAAAATAAAACATGCAGTTAACGTTGTGAAACAGTCGCTGTTGGGTTAGAATTAGGCACCAAAACTACTTGGGTAGGTTGTCTGTGAAGGTTCTCAGTCTTCCAGGTCATAGTTATCTAAAGAAGGTTAAAGTCAAGGGCAACTGGACTTGGTTGAAGATACTAGAAGACTTTTCGTCCCTCATCCAAGAGAGTTCTTCAGTTCTGACTGACTGGTAGGGAAACTAAGCTATTTAACCTCAGTGGGGTCGTTTGCCAGGATCATCGATACCGCTGGTTCGTTAGTGCTCCTGGCTGTGGTAACGACAGTCAACATGGTAGTTAGAACCACCCGTGGCCAAGTCTGAACGACCGTCGCTGGCATCTTCACCTGAGGCCAAGAGGAAATGTTTGTTGAGTTTCCTGAAGTGATGAAAGGACAGCAGTGTAAGTGGGGGATAAGTGGTGGCGTAGACCCCCTCCTCTGTTCAGCGACGATTTCTCGACCCGGGTGAAGATGGCTTCCTTGATACCTCTTTCAAACCATCCATCTTCTCTGTCTAAAATGTGCACCTGGTGGTCCTCAAACGAGTGTCCTCTGTCCTTCAGATGTAAGTAAACTGCTGGATAGGTGAAACTTGGATAGGTTTGGCATCAATTAGAATGAATGTTGACTTTTTGTTTCACACAGAAACTAACACCAGACTATGGAAGTCCGCTCTCCACCTCATCCACCTCCTTATTGGGACTTTGATGTTATTTATACTGGTCCTATTTTTAGTGTTAAGCAATGAAACTGAAGGACTTCCCAGTGCGTTTCAAAGTGAAGCCAAGGATGCATCCAACATGTAATCTGTAATATGGTTATAGCGGTTAGTTTACTGTCCATGAAGATTGATCCATCCAAGGAGCACCTGAATGCACTGAGCCACTGGTTGCAATTAGCAACTCTCACCACTAGATGGCACTAAAACTATCACATTGAACCTTTAAGTGTTGAATAAAAAGCAAGTTTTTCTCATAATCCTTATTACTGGGATGAGCAGATGAGAACAGGTGAAATTCAGGACAGAGGAGTTTGGAGTAGGCGTGGCCTCCAGTACATTACATTCAGTATCAACGAACTGTTAAACCATAACACATCAAAACTAAAATCAACTCAATGCTAAAATGTATTAATTTTGTTCATAAAGTCAGTTGTGTCAACAACATTGTGATATTTTACATCCAATTTATTTAATTCAATTAATTTCATGTTGTGTCCATGATACTCTGCAGTTCCTGCTGTAGTCAATGGAGAGCTGGAACTGTGTGTATCTGTGCACAACACCAAAAGAATGATTCACAACAACCAGTAGACATTAAGTTTTATTAATCTATTATAGCTTTATTGTAATTTTCAGGAAAAACAGGAGAGGAGTCAGGACAACTGCTCATAATTCATCTGGTCAGCCTACTTATTACGTAATGTTCCATTTCATGTTACAACTGACCCAGACTGTGCGGTGAATTAACATTTCACACCTTGTGTTTGAGGCCCCGTCCACACTGCTCCGTTTAAGTTTACAAACGGAGAATTAAAACAAACACGATCTCCGTCCACAGCAGCGTTTTAGCTACATTAAAACGTCTGAAAACGCACATCTAGTGGCCGTTCAGGTACACGCATGCCGGTCTATTCCGCAGTTACAGAAGATCTGGTGACGGAATAAAGAAATGCAGACGAAGAATCAGACCAGATTTTTTTTGCATGGACCAATAACGAGCTGGGACTTTTACTGAATGTAACGCAGGACTGTGGCGGCGCAAAACAGACTGGGAGGCATTGCAAAGTAAATGGCGACATGCACAGTACAAGTGTAGGCAGATAAGCTTAAGTGTTATTTGCACGGTACAGAATATTTTAATAAAAATACCAAGTCAAAAACTCTGCCAGCAGCATTGTGTTTCTGCTATGAATTAAGACCCAATCATCCTCAAGTCCTCCGTTTTTGCCCGTCTTCACTAAAACGCCCTCTGGAGTTTTGAAACACAAAATGGGGTCGGCGATGTTTCCAAACT